GGCATTTCCAATTAGCGTCAGTTGGCACACAAGAAAAACGAAACGGCGTGCTTTGTTAAGCTCAGCCAAAGTCGCTTAGGCGGATACAGCTCGAAATAAGAAGAAGAAGAAGGACATCGGAAGAATAAGTGACGAAGGCAGCTGTAAATATCATATAAGATATAATATAATAAGAGCTCGTTAACATTTAGGATTTAAATTGTAAAGCTCCTATTTAAAATCCGCTTATCTCCAAAACTTTATAACCGATTCTAGCATTCTTCAATTTTAATAGCGAATCAAAACTGCATTAAAAAATTCCTAGTTTAGAAATAAACAAAACCGACAAACAAGAAAAAATTGTATTTTAATTCAAATAATTTGTTTCTAGACTAATTTTTCATCTCCTATAAAATCAATAAAAAAAAAAGTTTACAAATAAATAAACACAAAAAAATTAATGTAAAAATATTGCATTGACATCATTTATTCATATTAAAAATGTAATAAAAATTAAAATTAATTTATCCAGATTAAATTTTTTTTTTTTCGAATAAAAATTATTTCACTATTCATTGAATATTTATTTTAGAGCACGCACCAATCTACGTGCAAACATACTTATGTGTAAATTATTTCTGTTTTTTATAAAATTGTAAGCTAAATAAAATAAAATTTATAAAAATTGGTATTCATTTTGAAAACATATTTGTTTATAAAAAAATATTTATTTCGCACTCGCAACCATCCACGCGCCATACAACTCTTTTAAGTAAATAATACAAAATCTTAAAAGTAAGCAAAATTAAAATAATTTTAAAATACAATACGCTTAGTACTAAAGAAAATTATATATTATAACTAGGGCATATACATAGATACATATGCATGTATGTATGCATGTATATGTGTATACTTTTACTTTAGTGTACTTAATATATATAATTATTTTTATTCACATAAAAAGCATTAAAAAAAAAAAAAAATTAAGGAATTTTGAATGAATTCCACAAAAGCCTTATATTTTATTCTTAGATTTATCGCACGAATGATTTTTTTAAAGTTTTGTTCTTCTTAAATTCATGTTTTTGCTTAAACGACACTTTTGATTATTATTTTCTACTTAAATTTGTGTCAAATACTTACCATGCGCATACATATTTAAGGTAAGTATGGATATACAGTTTTGTGCAAAATGATAAGGACAAAACTCAAAATGATATTTTTTTGCACTTATGTATGTGTATTTATTTATTTATTTTTAATTATTTTCATTTAAGCAAACGCGCAACACCCTCGGCAGAAAAATTAATAAAAATTGCTAACTCAAAAATTTTCCTAAAACCCTGAATATAAATTTTGAAATTTTGACGAATATTGTGCAAGCTTACCAACTTTTATTTGCGTGATTTCTGTTATATGTAGATATAAAATTTGAAATTTGTTCCTTATTATTTTGCACACAACTGTAGGTGTATGTTGCATTATAAAAATATTTATAAAAATACAACTTTTAAAAAATTATTCTAAATATTAAACCCAAAAAAATTATAAAAATCATTATTATAATTAAAAAATAAAACTTTTTTTTTAACATTTTTTTTTTTAAAGCTGCGCAACAAATTTTATAAAGAGCCCAATTTCACCTTATTTTTTCGGAATTTTTTGTTTCGTATAGATACATTTGATTTTTTTTTTTTGTTTAAGGGGTAGGTGGGATATTTCGCTGTAGCTAGGGTAAATAAGGGGCTTGTTCGTGGCATTTTCAGATTTTTTGTTTTAATCCTGTTACAGGATTATTACTTAAAAATAAAAAAATTAAGAATACATTAAAACAGTTGGCATAAAAATTTCTATATATTAAACATATTTAAATTAACTAAAATTAAAATAAAGGCAAATCTCGAATACAAAGTTTACTTAAAATTTATTGTGTTATGTTTTACTTTTACTTTTTAAAATCACGAAAAATTGCAACACATTTCTCTAAGGCATTAAAAAACAGCTACCGTGAAAAATATATAAACTAATTTAAATTTAAGAAAAATCACTGGTAGCAGCAGTTGGCGTTTGCAGAGCGAGTGGAATTTCGTTCGATGGTGATGCAGTTTTTTTTCACCAATGTTATATAACAAAGTGCGGTCACTTGTTTGATATACGAAAGAAAGCTAAGGTTTATTACACCGTGCGACAATAAATTTTACACACAAAAAAATGAATATATTCGCGAAACTATGGTTAAATTATAGTAAAACTGCATACTTAGTTTTTCTCTCTGACGTCAGGATTTTTTTTTAAGGACTTTGAAATTTATAAAATATGATTATTACAAAAAATTATTTAAAAAGTTGATTGCAATGTAGGATAACAGTATGGGTATCGTATAAAAGAAACAATTCTGTAGAATTATAGCACATACAATTTTTTGGTGTATACGGACGAATGGGTATGGAAAATGTCCTTTACAGATTTTGTCCTAATTTTGTAAATCAATTATTATCTTTATTATTATTGTTCTTAAATTCTGCAGAATTTCCTCTTTAATTTGGTACCCATATTGTTATTCTGAATTGCATTGATTTTTTTTTAATATTTTTTTAATTAAACATATCTTTAAAAATTCAAAGTCCTTTAAAAAAAATCCTGACATCAGAGAGAAAAACTAAAAGCGCAGTTTTACTATATTTAGCCCATAGTTTCTTGAGTATATCGGTTCTTTCATGTGTTTTGAATTTTTTTTTTGTTTTTGTCGCACAGTGTTATAAAAGCAAGTTTGCATTTTTTTTTTAACAACTGCAAAAGACCGGCGGCGATAAAATTTATTAAATACCAGTGCATGTGCACTAAAATTTTATGAGCTTTAAAACTGCCTACTCAAAAATATTCTCAAAAATTCTGTTTAAAAAGGTGGACATTTCGGTAAAAAAATTTTTAATTTTGCTAAATTTTGATTATTATGTTTATGGTTTTAGCCTGAGCAATATTTTTTATAAAAAATTTACGAAAAATTTTTAGCATGCAAAACATTGTGAATATTAAAAAGAAATCATCATTAGCTTTGATTGCTAGTGAACATTCAAGCAATGGTTAAAAACACCATTAACGCTAGAAAAAGAAAAGAAATATTAAGATCCATTTTTTTAACTAGTTTAAAATTATAAAATATTTTATTTTTTTTGCAACATACATATAAAACATGGCGCGACGGCCTTAAAACTTGCCACACAGCTGCCCTTAATTTAGCAACATACAAAGTTTGTATTTTTTAGCTGATCTTTCAAATAACTCCCTTTTTCCTTTTTTTTAATTTTACATACATTTAACTACTGTACATTTAGTGAATGTTTTTGTTTTTTTTTGCACGTATGTTTTTTGCTTGTATTACATCGCTACCTTAATATAGAAAGGCAACATTTAAAAAATATACACAAAAATCAAAAATTTAAAATTTCAATTTAAAAAACTTAAAGAAGAATTAAAAGAATTAAAAAAATAAAAGATTAAGAATTTTACAAAATTGTAACACAAGTAAAAATAAAAAATTGTTTTAATTAAAAATACACTTTTTTTAATTGTAGAAGTTTAAAATATTCAAAAAATTTTGAAAACATTTTAAAATTTAATTGAAATTAAAAATTTACTGGTAGCGGTGAAAAAAATAATAATTAAAACTAAAAAAGATGATGCAACATTTTATACAACTTTTTAATTTTATTTTATTTTTAAATTTTCATCATTTTTTCAATTCTTTTAACTTTTTAAAATTCGTAAAAAAATCGTTTTTCATTAAATTAAGTGTACTTAATTTTTTAAGTTCTTTTTTCTTATCCTACGAAAATTATAACTTAAGCCTTTCTATATTAAGGTAACGATATGTAGATGCAGTTTGCTATTTTATAAACAGATGGGCGGGTTTTTATTTTATGTCTTCTGAATTTCTTAGTGTTTTGAAAGTAAAAAATTTTATGAAAAAACTTACATTTTTCATTAAAAGTAGACCAACATTTTTAGCTTATTTTCAAAAGAAAAAAAATGGCTAAAAAATTTTCAAATTTTTATTTCAATAACAACAAAAAACTGGAAGAACTTTTGAATCAATGATTGCCCGAAGCTTTTAGAACTGCCAATTTTTATACGAATACTTTTGAATTTGTCAACCGTAGGGAGCGTTTACAATGTCAGTTTAGAGCTGACAGTGCTTTTTTTCGAAATATTTTGCTTGCAATATTAGCTTTGAGGGAAATTTCGCTTTCTTAGTGATTAAATAAGACGTTTTAGAACATCGATACAACTAAAAAGAGCACTCTCAACTCCAGATGTGCCAAACGAGTGCCCGCCATGCGTAGGAGACATCTCCTCGCATACCGAAAATTAGCAGGAAACCCAAGTTAGTACAGTTTGTGGATGCAATTCACTCTTTTTGTTCACATATTATTTTTTACATTTGTTTTCAATACTATATAATATATTTTAGTACAAAATTGTCCGGTTCTTGGCAACACTGAAGTTTACGAGGTCGTTTGCGCATCAAACTAACTGTTCTAATACCAAGTTCTCATTAAGCGATGAAATTACAAAAAATTATTTGACATTTAAAAAATTCCACTAGGCAGTTTCATTTTTCATGAACAAACATTTTTCATGAACATGAAATGGTATTATGACCGAAGTTTGTAAGAGATAGACCCATGAAAAATTATACCAATATGATGAGAACGCCGAGCTGAGTCGATTTATCCATTTCCGTCTGACTGACTATCTGTTTGAACACAATCTAGTCCAAGAGCTTTCGAGATATTTCAGACTCAAATTCAGTAAGAGGTTTGTCTTTTTATAATTTATTACTCATTTGGCAGAACCGATAAAATTCGAGCTCCCATACAACTGATTGTTTAGACATTAGATTTTGCGTTATAGGGTGTGTTCAGAAATGCATCAGTCTTATTTATTTCTTAGCTATATTTGATGGAAATGTCCAATATGCGCAACCACGGTTAAATTTCTAATTATAACTCAGTTGCGTAAGTAAGGCATTTCCATCAATTACAGTTTAAAAGTAAAAGCGTCTGATGATATTTGGCTTGATGCATTTCAGAACACGCCCATAACTCCGCAATTTATGCAGCTAGGAACATGAAATTTAGCCTTATTTTTACATATTATCAACAAAAAGTGTTCAGTGAAAATGGCAAAGATCTGGTTACTATAAGCTATAGCTCCCATACTACTGATTGTTCAGATATAAGATTTTACTTAAAAGCTCCTTTATTTTGATTGCTAAAATCGAGCAGATTTATGAGCTACTTAATAATTAATCATCATGCACGGTCGTCAAGATTGGTGCTCTATTAGGTATACATATCTCCCACATCACTGATAGTTCAGATATGAGTTTTTGTAATATAACTCCTCCATCTAAGTAGTTAAGACCGAAAATTCTCAACAACATTTTTGTCATTTCATGCCCCGTGGTATGCCAGTATAAGCGAACAATTTAATTTAAGAGTTTTTACTTTCAGAGCTATTTTAATAAAAATATATTTTTTTTTTATGCAGCTAGCTATAATAAGTTTTCATAAATTTGGCAAGTATGTAGTCCTTGGATTTTCATGTTTTTTTTGTATGCATTCCCTTGCATTAAGCTTGGCTCACAATGTCTGGTGAAAAATAGAAAACAAACATTTTAAAAGTTGCCTCATGCAAACGAAATGAATTACAGCTATGAGAGTTTAGCTAGAATTTAGATACTGAATAATTACAATTTTATTCTTTTAGCAGTGTTAGGTCCAAATTTTCTTACTAGTTAATGCGAACTCGAGCCCAACACTGTCTGATAACTAAAGCTCGCATTTAGTGCGTCATGTAAGGGAAACTTCGCCACTTTAATGCAATTTTTCATGTTTTTTGTTTATAATTTTACACTTTTCACTACAGTTACAAAAAAATAGATATAAAAAAAAGTACATATGTATATTCCACATTTAATATGTAGGTTGCATTTTACTATCAGTTTCTTTATCGTTTACTCATTTAGGCACATGTTTTTAATATTTAAGTTTTTTTTGCTTACTACATTTATAAAGTAAATATATTTACTTATACTGCAGTTTAATTTACTTACTTAAAACATATTTATAGGCATAGTAAAAAATACTAAAATTTTAGATACTCTTTTTTGCGCAAGCTGCGCATCTCAGCATACAAATCTACCATTTATAATTTTACTTATAAAAGTAAAAATATAAAATATTTGAATATTTTTTACTGCCGTATTGTGACAGCGTTTGCTTATTTACTTAATTGACTAACATTTACTAATATATAGATTTTATATATTTTCTTCATATAAATTTAAGCTGTCTTCGTTTCAGCCGCTCCACGTCGAGCATCTCTGTTTGTCTATTTTTTGTTTACTATCTGGAAGCATTGCGGCACATTTCATATACCTGCTGCTCCCTCTCCCTCTTTCTGGGCTTCCTTTTCTCCTCTTCAAGCACAATCAATTGCCTTTCTTGCGGCTAATTCCATTGCACTTCGCCATTGGAGCAGTTGGCGGCAATCTTGCGTTGCCCTTGTTGCTGCGTCTACTTGCTCTTGTTGTTTTTGCAGTTGCTTCTTTCTACGCACACTTTTCAAGAGCATTTGTCAATGTTCTCCACGTAGCAGTTCCATAAGTAAATTGAAATCACCGCCATCACGTGATTTTATGGTGAGCATCTCCTTGCCGAGCTGTTCAGTAAGAAATCAAAAGGCATTTTTTTTATATAATATTTTTTCAAAGTTATTTACAACAATATCTCCTTACCTGGCATGTCTTTTGCAGATCTGGTATGCGCAGCAGTAGTTCACCAAATTTGGACGGCGTATCTGGATAGTGCGCAAGCGTGTAGGCCTGCAAGGCTTGCAACGCCTTCTCTTGACATTCACGCACCTTGACGGGCTCCTGCAATTCGCTGGTGTCTAGGCGACGGAAGGAAATGGATTAAACATATTACAGAAAGTTTTTGAAGTTGATTTATTAATGAAATAAAATTAAAAGGGCGTGTATACCAGATACTCATAAAGTTTGATGTCTAAACATCTGAGTATGGCATTAGGCGATTCCGTATATAGTGAAATAAATGGATTGGGTTAAAAGATAACCTCGAAATAAAACCGAACTAGTTCTAGAAGAGTGCTGATAAAATCGTAAAATTTTCCCGAAATGATCTCAGAAAAGTCTTGAAATGGTCCTGAAAATGGCCCTGAACTTTTTTCGAAATGAACTCGCGCTAGCTCCAAAAAGTCCTGAACTATGCTCAAATGGTCCAGAACTAGGCCCGAAATAGTCTGAAATTGTCGTGAACTAAGCTCGAAATGGTACTGAAATATTTTCGAAATGGTTCTGAAATAGTTCCTAACAAAACTTGAAACGGTCGAAAAAGTCGTGAACTTGTCCAAAAATGATCTTGAACAAGTCTTGAAACGGTCCCAAAATGGTCCCAAAATTAGCCCGAACTAGTCCCAAAATTATTATGAAATAAATAGTCCTGAACAGATCCGAAATAAAACCTAGAACTTGTCCCAAATGATCTCGAACAAGTCTTGAAATGGTCCCTCATAGCCCCGACATGGTCCTAAAATAGATCTGAACTAGTCCCGCAATGATCTTAAAATATTGCCAAACGTTCCCGAACTAGTCCTGAAGTAGTCGTGAACAGGCCCTAAAATAATCCCTAACTAGTCCCAAAATGGTCCGGAAATAGTCCTGAGCAGGCCCGACATGGTCGAAAAATCTTTAACTTGTCCCAAGATTATCTCGAACAGGTCTTGAAACGGTCCCGAAATGGTCTCTCTTAGTCCCAAAAAGGCCCCAAAATAATGCTATCAAATCTCGAAATGGTCTTCAAATAGTTCCAAAACCATCCCGAACTTGTCCCAAAATGGTCTTAAAGTAGTCCTGAACTGGACATAATGATACTGTGTGATAATGATGAACTGGACATGATAATAGTCTTGAAATGGTCGATAAGTAGTCCTAGTGCTAAAATGGCCCTCAAATAGTCTTGAACCAGTCCCGAAATGTTTGTGAATAGGCCCCGTAATGATCCCTAATTACCCCCTAAATACTACTGAAATAGTTCTGAACTGGACCGAAATGATGCCGAACTAGGCCAGGAAGGGGCCTAAACTAGTCGTTAACTAGTTATGAAATAGACCTGGTCTATCCTAGAAATTTTCATTTGTACACACAAGAAGCAATTTAAGATTTTCTGTTCGGTTACACAAGAAGCAGTTACAAATTTTCTACTGGCTTAATACAAAATTTTACCTATAAAAAGAGCTAAAATGTTTACTGTAAACAGTTAAATGTTAAAAATTTCAAATATTTACCCGACTGCAGCAGCACAATCACTTTCATGGCAACATATTCATAGCGATCGACGCGTAGGCGTCTCAAGTTTTCTGTCAGGTTCAGCATTCGTTCAATGCAGGCCTAAGTGAACAGCAAAATAAAAAGTAAAATAATTAAAAATGTGCACACACTTTTCTCCACCAAAACAACATTATGCTGACATTTCTTAGCTTGCTGCTCACCTGTAAGCCACTTGATTTTGCCTGCGCTAAGTCAATCTTCTTGCCTTGTGACATCTTAATCTCTCCCGGCGTATCGATCGAACGATAACAGCACGAGAAGAGCAACAATTCACACCATGAATTGATCAGCAAGCAAATTTGATCATCGATCTATAGAAAGGAAGTAGAAATTGCAAATGTTTCTTCTAAGCTGACGCAAGCGCAACCTACCGAAATATGCTTGAAGAGCGGCAAACTTTTGCACCATTTGACGATCTTGTACAGTCGATGATCGGCCACATTGCACAGGTGTGCGATAAGATCGGGATTGGCATTTTCACCGTTACCGAAACCAGCACTGGCCAGCAGAGGGTTTGTCATTTGTGTATTGATAGCAGCAGCAGCAACGCCACCACCACCACCAGTCGCAGTGGACGTCGAGGCGGTAGAGGCATTGGAAGAGGAGGAAGACGATGTAGAGATCGGTTGATTGAGACGCGCCAATTCGGCTTCATTATACTGCCACAGATGTTCAACATCCATGATTTCCTGTAATGAATTTGAAGGCAATTTCTTAAAAGTTCAAAGTCGTTTGTGCGTAAAAACTCACCTGCAGCAGCATAGGAATGTTTGTTGCACGCGCCGGCGCGGTAGCTCCTTCATCACACTGCTCCGACTTGATTGTGGCGTGCCCCCCACCACCCAAACCCGCAGCCAGTCCGTTCAGCGTGTGATGATGCTGCTGCTGCTGTGCAGACATTGAATGCGTCATTTGCGCGCCACCGCCAAGTCGTCCCTGTTGCTGGTGCTGCTGCTGTTGGCTGGCTGCTGCCGCAGCTGCTGCTGCCACCGCTGCCGCAACACCCTGCTGTTCCGGACTCAATAGCGGACTCAACATCGAATTGGGCAATGTGTACGAGCATTGGTACGTGGAGCGTCCACCACGCGTGCGATCTTCACGTATCGCCTCAAGTTTCATGCCCTTCTGCAGACATTTTTCGAAACGACAAGCGGGACATTTCTTGCGCGTCGAAATGCTTACCGGACATGGGCCGCCGCGTACGCATACATAGTTCTTGCGATTCTGGACGGTGCGCTTGAAGAAGCCCTTACACGATTCACACGAGAAGATGCCGTAGTGGAAGCCGGAGATTTTGTCGCCGCAAATGGGACAAGGCGAGTTTATGAGCTGTTGACGCGAAATACCAGCGGGTGAGGCAGGCAAACCCTCCAGACCCATGTTGAGCGGCGAGACCTTCGTGTCCATGCTTAGGTTCTGTGCCTCCGCGTTGCTGGCAAGAACGGCATTGCCGTTACCAGCGCCGCCGCCACCGCCACCGCCACTATCCACCGTAATGGGTCGGTAGAGCACTGAGTGGTGCAGCGAGCCATTGAAGCTGCCGTAGAGTGCTGGCACCGGTGGCGCATGTCTGCCCTGTATGGGTGAATGTGTTGGACTGAACTCTGAACTGTAGGAGTAGCATGAGCTGTGCGATGCGTCGCTATTGTTTCGACTCAGCGATGGCGTGTAGGGTGCGTGGCGCGACGTCAATGGCGACTGGGATGGTGAGCTGTGCGTATAGACGGAATGTATGGCAGAGTCTGGGCTGGGATTGGCAGGAAGTGGCAGGGTGGCTGATTTGTTACGCGCCAAAAGTGGCGAGTTTACATTTCCGCCAGCTGTGATAAGCCCCGTAGCGTTGGCATCGGGATCATACTTCAGATTAATGGGATCACTTTGCGTGGGTGCGAGCTTTGTGTGCGGTGTGGAATAAAGACTTCCGGCACTGCTGCTGCTACCCAAGCCGGTGCGCGTCGGTGCAAGCGCCGCTGCACCAGCTTGCACCTCAACGGAAATTTGTTCCATTTGTTCAGGCTTGATGGGATGTGTCGGCGTTGGCGGCAAAGTCTGTGCGGGGGTTGTGGTGGTTGCCTCGCTTTTAATCACCGCCACGCCTATACTACCAATACTGCCATTGTTTGTGCTCAACATGCTCGGCGCTATGCCGCTATTACTTAACGAATTCTCCGTTTCCATAAGCTCCGTTTCAGTCGTCTCCGTTTCGGAGAGTTCCCCTTCCCAGGACATGGGACGCGGTCCATTCTTGTTATGATTAGCGTTTGTATTACTGCCGCCACCAGCCGCACCAGGCGTGCTGACGTCCGCATTGCTGCTATGCGCGCGTCGCGTCACTTTTAAATTCTCAATGTTCGTCAACTCAGTCTCAGAGTCGGAATCTTCCGCCTTCGTGGCAGGTATCCGTATACCAACACCACCAATTCCACTACTTGCACCGTTATAGTAGCTGGCAGCGCCTGTTGCAGCTATGACCGGCACTATATTGCCATTGGGCGTTAGCGATGACGCAATACTCTCATCCATTTCGCATTTAATATTCGTGACGGATACATTGTTGCGTGTTGTTGTTGTGGTGGTTGTTGTTGTTGTGCCATTAGTACTGTGGCAGTGGCTGCCATTCGAAGTGATTTGGGCATGGCCGTGCATATTCACGGGCAATTGGAATGCACTGCCAGCTAGGGTTGAGCCAAAGGCAGTCGCTGATGGATTGGAGCCAGCGGCGCTCTCAGCTTTTGTGGAGGACATTATTTCGTATGTTTAGTAACGGTTTCCTTTTTAGTATAAAAAGATATATAGCTTGTGCGCCTTCTTCACAAAATTGTGCAAATGTGCGTATTTATAAAATCCTCTTAGTTTTTATGGAGCGCTGGTGCAGTTTATAAAAATTGGACAGATGTCGCTGGTGTAGTCCCATGTTGAATATATTTGTAACCTGGAAAGAAAAAAACAGTAAATTAGTTTAAAGTTTGTTGGAGCCTTGAGTCTTGAACTATGTAAATATATATATTTAATGACAGTGTCTCAGCTCTAAGTAACTTTGACTTTATGGCTTTGGCGATGTATTAGTCTCCGACCGAACTTTTGAGACTGTGAGGAATATTCTTGGTAACGAAGTTGGCGCCAATGGCGGCACTGGTGAAGGCAGGCGCCTACAAGTTTTCGTCAACCGATTTCCTAGAATGATACTCCGAATTGTTTTTGGCCTAAAACTATCTCGAATGAGGAAGACTAACATGGAGCGCCCTGCCATCGGGATTTGGATAGAGAACTGAAAGTGGATAGGCCAAACTTTGCGCAAAGAAGACGACAGCGCTGCAAAGAAGGTCTTGGAATGGAATCCCCTAGTTTGGTGAGGCAGGTCTCCCTGTTGACCGCGCGAAACGTGAAGAACAGTCGCCCGAAAGGCAAACAAGTCGAGTTAAACTGGAAGGAGAACAAAGCAACAGAACCAGATGGCGCGCAGGCGTAGAAGTAACGCATGGCATTAAAAGAAACGAAGAAGAGTTTCGGATTGAAAAGCCGAATAGTTTTGAAATTCTCTACAGACTCCGATGGCTTTACTAGCATGTTGTTCTAATCCTTGTTCGTTGTGGTAAAACTTCGAAATCCCCAGAAGGCCTCATCAATACTAGCATAAGCCGTCTTATAGAGTGTAATCGATCTTATATCTTCGCATGGATTGTACCCTGTTACTGCTTTTGAACTACCACCCTCACCTGAAGGTAGTCGTGGGTCCTAGGCTTTCGACTGTCATGTAAGCAATCTCAGATTTAAATCATTTCCATTGTTTCCTTAGTCTATCGGCTATCTTCATGATTCTCATCCATGACTCTAAGCATGATTTTCTCTTCTTCGACTTCTGCAAAAGAAGATGCCTGCCCTCTAGCCTTACTCGGACCCAGTTCTCATAGATATATTTATTGTGCCTGTGGGTAGAACAGCTTTCGCTCCATCTGAGCTAGATTCTGACAGCAAGTCCGGTCTCGTGAAGCGTCTGAAATCTGCTTACTGGTTTGGTAGCCACTGGTGCCAGGAGTTCAACTAGACGGTCTGGAACAAATCAATCATTTAATAAAATCGTAGCTGTGAGGGCTAGGGTCGAGAAGGAGCCTATAATATCGACGAGATAAAAAGGGCAGTGCCTTTAAAGAATTTCGACCAATGATTTGAAGATGTTTTGATTTAAAAGTGAAATGGTTCTTGAGCTGGTAACAGCTGACGGGTAAAACCCTGCGTCGTACCCTAAGAGGTTGTTACAGCTGAATAATTGCTTATTTTTTTTAGAAAATGGTGGAAAGTGACGAAACGACATTAGACATTAAAAAATTCTTAGTTTTTTGACAACCCACAATCCTCAAGTTCTTCATAAGATGACCTTATGGTGCGCCATTTTCACAGAACATTTGATAGGATCTCACTTTTTTGAAGACAACACTAAAAACGCCACAGTCTTCGCGAGTTTTTTTTTTATAACGAAACTGGATGAGTTGGACTTTTAGAAAATGTGTTTTTAACAAAACGGTACCACCGCTCACACAGCACGCGACACTATGGGGATTTTGTGAAAAACACTTTAACACTTTCTGTGGAGTTAATTAAAACGGTGGACAGATTTCAAAGATCACAAACGTAAAACTAAAATTTCAGTTGAAACTCTGGTTTTGAAGTAAAGCTTAATGAAGGAAAATCGACGAAAATTATGTGCAGACATCACAAATTTTTAAGCAAACACGAACACATACATATGTATTACAAATCGAAAGAAACATAAAAAAAACCAGTAAAAAGAACGAAAAATTACACCTCTGCAACGCTTTCACCACTTCAATGAAGTTTTGACAAAATTTCACTAAAAAAAAAAAATATCAGCAATACAACAATAACAAATGCTTTGGGTTATGAATATTTTATTTGCTGAATTAAGTTTTTGTGTGATTATGTGTTTTTTTTTTTTTGGTGCTGTTCCCTTTGTTGTTACGAAAGAAAGGTGGCTCCCTCCTATCGCTGAAGTGTCATCTCACAGTAAAAACAAACGTGTCACCAACACATGTGACTGGAGGACGAACGAATTAAGCAATTGTTCGCTGGTTCGACCTTTTGTTGGGCACAATCAGAGCGCAGAGGTTTTCGAAAAGCAAGAACAAAACGGTATTAACAATAACAATAATAAATTCTAACAACAAGACAAGGTAGACTACAAAAACAAATAAAAAATAAAACTGATGAGTCCAACAACAACCATAGGTGGTAAAATCTATTGCAATATGAGCGTGTTGGCAACAAAGCAACAGAAACTGTGTGGAAAAAGTGTCAACGACCTAAAAGCAAAATTTACAAACCTACAAACTTACATACATATGTATGTATTTACAAACCATGAAACGAATGGGTGCGGAGCGTAGAAATTTGCTAATGGAACCCCCCGCAGAACATGCCGATGACGAAAAAAGTTGAAACACTAAACAAAATAAACAAAATTACACAAAAATAAGGCAAAAGCAAACGATGAAGAAAGCTAACAAAAATGTGAATAATATACATATGTATATTTAAGGTACATTAACCTTAACCGACAAAAGAAGGCCACTAAACGCACTGGGAAACAGTAAAGTATACGCATCGGACAAAGCGACATATGGGCACGCAACAGCTGATTGCTAAGTGCCAGAGAAAGGCCAGATTTAAGAGAGAGAGAGGGTTGAATATTTTTGCAGTAATGTTATGTGAAATATATTAAATTTTGAATGAAAATAAAAAAACGCATTAATAATGCGAAACCAAACGAAAATTTTAGAAAAAATAAATAAAATTTAATTAAATTAAAATATTGAAAATAAATAAATAAACAAAACAAAATAAATTATATAAACTAAAATTACAATAAAATAAAATTAAAATAAATAATATGCAATAAATAAAGTTAATTACAGTAAATTATACACATCGGACAAAGCGGCATATGGGCACGCAACAGCTGATTGCTAACTGCCAGAGAAAGGGCAGGTTTAAGATAGAGAGAGGGTTGAATAATTTTGCAGTAATGTTATGTGAAATATATTAAATTTTTAATGAAAATAAAAAAAAACTAATTAATAATGCGAAGCCAAACGAAAATTTTAGAAAAAATAAACAAAATTAAATTCAATTAAAATATTAAAAATAAATAAATAAACAAAACAAAATAAATTATATAAACTAAAATAAAATTAAAATAAATAATATGCAATAAATAAAGTTAATTAAAATAGAATACAATTAAAAAATAGAATTGCATAAATTAAAGTGAAATAAAGCAAAATAAAGTTCAAAAATATAAAATCAAATCAAAATAAAAACAAAAATAAAAAATGAAAGTAAAATTAATAAAATATATAGTTTATAAAAATAATTTAATAAAGTAAAAAAACTGAATCAGAACTAAATAAAAATAGAAGTTAAATAAATATAATTTAAATAGAATATAATTGAATCGTGTAGAACAAAAAAAAATTAATAAAATATACTATAAAGCTAAAGTTGAAAAAATACAATCAATTACATAAGACACAAAATAAAAAAGAAATAAACCCAAAGTAAAATAAAAATCCAAATATATGTATCAAATAAAATAAAATAATCCAAAGCAAGTTAAAGAAAATATTTAAATACATAAAATCAAATTAAACTAAAAAAACAAAAAACAAAATAGAAATAGGAAATCAAAAAAATATTACACAAAGTAAAAAGAGGAAAAATAAAATTGAAAAAATTAAATAAATTAGAATAGAAACAAAATATACAAAAAAAAAAAACACTAGTAAGAAAAAAATTTTATTACATAAAAAATAAAACAAATTAGAATAAAATTAAAACTTAAACAAAAATTAACAAAAAATAATAACTAATAATAAAAACTGTTAAAAAAATTACAAAAATTAAATAAATTAAAAAATTATACAAATAAAATAGAAATAATAGAATCAATTAGAGCACAAAGATTAAATAAAATAAACCATGGAGTAAAATAAGATAAAAATGGAGTTGAAAAAAAAATAAAATAAAGCAGAACAAGAAAACAAAATAAAAGAGAAATAGAAGCCAATCAAAAATATGTATAAAATTAAAGGAAAATAAAATAAGATACAATAATACAAACCAAGTAAAAGAAAATATTCAAATAAGTAAAATCAAACTAAATTAAATGAAAATAAATCAGAATAAAAAAGTAAACACATAATCGAAATAAGAAATAAAATAAAATATAACAAAATAAAACAAATGAAAAAAACATAAAAATGGAACAAATCAGCTAAACAAACAAAAAAAGTGAAATAACAAAAAATGGCATTATATGAAAACGAAATAAATCATATTAAAAAATTAAATAAAAAATTTACATAAAACTAATCAATATTAAAAACCAAAATATCAAACAAATATAATTAGTAATTAATTCTTCCTCTCATTTAATAAAGGATAAGGGAAGTGGCTTTAAAAGCAAAAAATATATATATAATATAAATATAATCAAAATTCAATAAAAAAATAATAAAAGCAGTCAGAATGAAAGCATTAAATTAAATAAAAAAATATATATATAAAATATGAAATGAGTTATTTATATAAAATATTAAGTAAGATATTAAATAAAATAAAAATAATTTGCTGATCAATTACTTCTACCTATCCTTTCATACAATTTGAGAGCGCAACTTTTAAAACCAAAAAACAAACTAAAATAAAACTAGAAATAAATGAAAATACAAAAAAAAAATTAAAAAAAAACAAAGCTAAAGATGTAAAACAAAATAAATAAATAAAGTAAAATAAATGTTATGCAACAAAACGAAATAAAATAAATCAAAATAAAAATAAAATAACAAACACATATTAAATAAAATAATTTTGGTTGGATGTAAGTCTTCAACTAGCTTGTTCAAGTTAGACTTTTTC